GCTTGTTGTTAAACTTGAATATTTTTCATCTGAGGAATGCTTGACTGGTTTTTGATACATGATTCTTCCATCAGCTGAAGCTGGTTCTTCATCTGCTTTGGCAGCCTTTATTTCTGCTTTAATTTTCATGACATCTTCAGCTGACAGGTCTCCCTTTTTTAAAACCACTACTTGGGGTTGCTCATCTTCTTTGTCACTGTGATTACCATCCTCATCTGGGAGCTGAGGCTGGATTCTCTTGGTCTCTAAGGTGGGCCCTTCCCTGTAGCTGACCCGTTCCTTGAAGCGGGCCAGGAATGCCGGCTCAGCCAGTCACACATAAGACACCTGGTTCTGCTTGCTCATGGCCGCTGAGGGGAAACACTGATTCCCCAAATGGCTTTTTAAACATTCCCATCAGATATATGAGAGTTTTAGTCAACATGCATCTTTGACTTAAGAAAATTAAATATTAATTGGTACTTTTACACATTTCCCTGACAGTGAAAGTACTTACAATATTTTATCTCCATGTATCCCAATCTCAAATTATATAGATTATATTATGGTCTAATCTTTTATTCTAAATATATTGTGTATCCAATAAATCACTATTATAATTTAATACATTCAGTAGCCATTTAGCATTACCCATATATTTATTATGTTCATTTTTAAAAAATGTATCTTAAACCTTCCTTCTGGGATAATTTTCCTTTTGTTTGAAGATCTCCCTTTAGTGAGAATTTGATGATAATGAATTTTTAGTGTTTGATTTTTTTTTTTATCTGAAAATGTCTTTATTGTTTCTGTTGAAGTCAGCTGATAGTTTATTTATTATGACTTTAAAGGCAATGTATTTTTTTTCCAGGCTATTTTTAAGATTTTTCTCTTTGGTTTTTGTTTTCATAAATTTCACTATAATGTGTTTCTGTCTGTATGCCTTTTAATTTATCCTATTCAGGTTCATAGGGCTTCTTGTAATTGTGCCTTTGTGTCCTATATCAGGCTTGGACAGCATTCAGCCTTTATCTCTTCAAAAATTCTTTCTGTACCATTCTCTCATGTCTCTCCTTTTAGGATTCCAATTATTCTATGTTAGACCTTTTCAATAAATCACACACTGTTTCTCTCTCTTACGTATTTCACACATTTTTTTTACTTTTTGGGCCTCATTCTAGATATTTTCTTCCAGTTCATGGGTTCTCACTACTAATGATATCTAAACCACTGAGTTTAGTCTGTTTTCCAGTTTTAGCATTTCCAATGTGCTTGCTCTCTTATGCATACTCATTCCCCACACACCATTTATATGATGGAATTCTCATGTTTCTTTCATCTATTTAAACATATTCTTCATAGCTATGTGGAAGTTCGAATATTTCAAACATTTGTAGTCTCAGTACACCTGTATTTTTAATTGTATTATAATTTATATATAATAAAAATAGTTTGTACACTTCAAAGTGTTAGGACAAACGTATACAATTGTATAACTACTACCCCAATAAGATATAGAACACTGTACCACACCAACAAGTTCCCTTATGCCCATTTTCAGTCAACCCACCACTCCAGAAGAAAGCTCTGTTTTGGCTTCTAACACCATGGCTTAGCTTTGCTTGTTTGGAAATTTCATATAAATAAAACCATATATTTTGTACTATTTAGTGTCTGGCTTCTTAGATTGACATAATTTTTCATATTCATCCATATTGTTGTGCAAATCAACATTTTCATATAAGCATTTTATGGATATATATGTCCATTTCACTTGGGTATATACCTAGGGTAAATGTACTTTTTATTTTATAAGAAACAACCAAACTTTTTTTCCTAAGTAGTTGTACCATTTTACATCCTCACCAACAATGTATGAGAGTTCTAATTTCTCCTCAACCTCACAAATATCTGGAATTGTCAGTATTTTTAACTTTAGCCATTCAGTGTTTATAAAGTGATCTTCTCCATGTGGTTTTACTTTGCATTTCCCTGATATAAAATGATGTTATCTATCTTTTCATATGCTTATGGGTATTTATATATTTTCTTGGTGAAGTGTCTATTTATGTCTTTTTCTAATTTTTAAAAAGGGATTTTTTGTATTTTAATTTTTAATTGAAGGAGCTCTTTACATTTGTGGAATAGATATTTTGTCATATCTGTACACATACAAAATATATTTTCTCAGTCTATGGTTTGCCTTTTTGTTTTCTTAATGTTATGCTTTGATGAGTGGAAATTTATAATTTTGATGAAGTCAAATTTATTCTTTTTTCTCACTGTTATAATTTTTTTTGTGTACTAAGGAATTTTTGCCTTCCAAAGGTTGAAAAGATATTGTCCTATATTTAGTTCTAAGAGCATTATATTTTTAGCTTTTATATTTAAGACCATGATTAATCTCAAATTAATTCTCTGCAATGCTATCCCTGTCATAAATCAAGTTTTCATATATGTGAGTATATTTTTACTCTCTCTATGGTGTTTCATTTATTTATTCTTCTTTGACTTTGTGCCAATAACACATTATCTTAATTACTATAGCTTTTTAATAATTTTTGACATTTTGTGGGGCAAGACTCTGAACTTGGTTCTTCTTCTGCTGGAGGTTATTGGCTATTCTTGGCTCTTTGTTCCTACATAAAAATTCTCCAATCACTTTTTAAATTAATGTTTTATCTTGGAGGTTTACATCAATACAGTTAGTGTAAATATGAACTCTAAACTCACATGAGGCCACGTTTGTATTAAAAAATAATTTTTTAAGGAATCCTATATTTTACAGAGCCCAGGCCAAAACAGACATGTTTCCTTATTTTCTCCCTGTACTGATTACTATATTTTTCTAGTGCTCTTTTGCAATGAGGACATAACCCTTCAATGGTATTAGATTTATAGGATGAATTCTTATATTTGTTTCTTATGGCTGCTGTTAACTAATTACCACAAATTTAGTGGCTTAAAACAACATAGATATATCCTCTTACAGTTCTGGAGGCGAGAAGTCAGTTTTATTGGGTAAAAGTCAAAGTGTCAATAGGGCTTCACTCCCTTTAGAGGCTCTAGAGGGAGAATCTATTGCTTTTGCTAGTTTCTAAAGCAGCACTATTTGGCTCATAGGCCCCTTCTTCCTCTTTCTTTTTTTAAATATGTTTTTATTGACTTCAGAGAGTGGAAAGGAGAGAGACAGCAATGAGAGCCATTGATTGGCTGCCTCCTGCACACCCCCTACTGGGGATAGAGCCCACAACTTGGGCATGTGATCTCTTGGTTCATAGGTCAATGCTAAACCCCTGAGTCACACCGGCAGGGTCCTCCTCCTTCTCTTTCAAAGCTAACATATAACATCTTCAAATCTCTCCTGCTTCCTTCATTGCATTGCCTTCTGCTCTGTAGTCAAGTATACCTCTGCCTGACTCTTATAAGGACACTTGTGATTGCATTTAGGGCCCATCTATACAATCCAGGATAATCTCCCCATCTCAAGATCCTTAACTTAATTCACATCTGCAGTCTCTTTTGCCACATAAGGTAACACTCACAGGTTCCATGGGTTAGGACATGGATATCTTTGGGGATCATTATTCAGCCTACCACAGTCTTAATTCTAACCCTTAACTTTACTCAGGCTCAAAATCTTTCTTGTGTAAACTTAAAACTCAAACTCTTACTTAGCAAAATTAGTAGTCCATCCACAAATCTTTCTGCTACAATAATATCAGCTCATATGATTAACACTCCAGTTTTCAGTTCCTTATACTATATGAGTCCCTATATGAGCCCCCAGATGATTATTTCCTTTAATTTCTTATGAGCTCAGATATTTACAAAAGGATGTTTTCTATGTTTTAGCTAGCTTTTTTATTATTTCGTAAAGAAAGATTTTTTAAGGGTATTTAGTTTGTTATATTTTCAAATATGGGAATCTTTAGTCTACTCCTATATAGATTCTGTACCCTTCACTTCACTAGAGCTATTCTTTTCAAAATCACTAACAGCCAATCATATCACCATAACCAATAGATAGTTTCTATCTGCATCTTACCTAAACTCACAGTAGAATTCACCCCAGATGATTATTCCTTGCTTCTTAAAACAGTCTTCCTCTCTTGACTTCTATAACGTCACACCCTTCTCTTTTATTTTTCCTACTTTATAGGTTACTCTTTCTCTTTCTCCATTGCTATTTCCTCCTCTACCCAACCTAAAATGCTGCTTCTTTCTGAAACATCATTTACTATTTAACTACACTGTATAGCTTCAGTATATTGGTAGGAAATATTGGCCCTCTGTATGGGTATGCAGGACATCCAAGTATATGACTCACATCCACCATGCCATGGAGGCAGTTTTGTAGACTAATACAGTTAATTAACATTTATCTCCTAAAATGTCTTACAGTGGAAAAACCAGACAGAAAATTTTTTATATGCTATAAGTCTCCCTGGGAAAAGTGCTAGTGATATGCAAGTCTTTCCCTAGACATCAGTAAATTCATATTGAAGAAAATTTCTCCGAGTATAGGTACTATTAAAAAAAAAACCTTCAAACTCTGTGTAGCCTTTACTAAATATCAGATAATTCATAATTTCAAAAAGGTTACAGGAGAAGCAGCGAAGTTACATGTGCATACAAAAAATGGGTTATAAAATTGCTCCCAATCCACCTATCTGTTGTCAGCTTAGTTTCCTACCCCTCACCTTTTCAAGCTCTGCTCATTAATTTCCTCTTTTTCATGAAACTCTCCAAACCTCACCAGCTCTTGGAGCAAACCTGACTGAGATAGTAAGTACTGCAATAACCTTACTACTTCAACATTCTTCTTATTCCCACCTTCTTGTTAAGAATTCAGTTGTCTGAAATACCAGGATCTAATGACTCAGTCACTAATGCTGGGCTAAGGTGTTGCTCCCATTATCTCCAGTAATGGTTCTTCAACCTTCTCATGCCTACTCTGAGTGCCCATAATTTCCATTTTGGAAATGTCTACCCCTTATTCTCCATAAAACAACACTCACCAAAGACTGTGCGGGCAGGGACAGATTCTCTGTTGAGCCAGAAAGACACCTGTGACAGAATGACAGTCATAATACATGGCAAGTAGGTCTGGATCACAAAGTAGCCAATTTTTCTCTTGAGATGGAAGTGGGTTGTCATGACGACATATTCTCCTGGAAAGAGAATAAAATTAGGTAGTGTGTAGCCGAACAAACATTGTAGGTTGAAGGTGGCTTCCAATTCAGTTCACAAAGCTCCTTAACCTTACATTCAAAACAAAATATCCCCGCACCTCCCAAGTTCATGAAACCAGGTTTCATCAAGTAGTGAGGTTTTTTGTGGGGGTTTTTGGTGAAAATATATACTAACAATGTACCAACACAGCTTGCTCAGAGCAATTTTGATACAAAGTCATTCAAATAAATTAGTGTCCTCATTTAAATACATTTAATAAGAAATAATCCCTTCTACAGAATTTGCTATGTGATTGGCACTTTTCTAGAACTTTCATATCCTTAAAATACTTAATCTTTACAACAATCCTGTGAGATAGGTACTATTGTTATCCTCATTTTATAGGTCAATAAACTGAAGCAAAGAGAGATTGAGCAACATCCACAAGGTTACCCAGCTAGTAAGTAGTGGAGCCCAAATTCAAGGTTAGATGGGCTGGCTCCACAGTTTATGCTTCCTAACCACTATGCTCTGCTGTTCAAATGGATTTATTAGGTTACAACCAAAGGTTCACACAACAGAATGTAAGTTGGCCCTCATCACTCCACTCCAAAATAAGACTGAACATTTATTAAGATTTTACTATATGCCAAAAAAAGTTTGAGTGTTTTTGGAGTATTTACTTTATACCCTTCCAACAATCCTGTAAGGAAGGCACTAATTATTACCCCTTGTTGTTAAATTCAATAGTTAATTATCACTCTTACTGGATTTCTCAGAAGCATTTTACACAATTGAGCACTCCATCCTCCTGAAATGACTTTCTTCACCAAACTTCTAGGCCATGATGCTCTTCTAGTTTCTCTCCTACGTCATTACCTCTCCAGTCTCTTTTGCTGGTTGGTTCCTTTAAATTTCTAAACACTTGAGGATGTCAGGATTTGTACTTGTACTCTTTTTTGTCTTATTCACTGCCTTTGCATTCTCAGTCTGTGTCTTTAAATAATACCTTAAATTCTGAAAACTTCCCAATGTATATCTTCTGACTGGGCTTCCTGCTTGTTGTGGGTTGAATCGTGTCTCCTGGAAAGATACGGTAAAAGTCCTAACCCTGAGTACCTCAGAATGAGACATTCTTTAGAAATAGGGTTGTTGCAGATATAATTAGTTAAGATGAGGTCATACTGGACTAGGACGGGCTGTAATCCACTATGACTAATGTTCTTATAAAGAGAGACACACAGGAGAGGGAAGATGGCAGCACTGTGAGAAGCAGCAGAGCGCCCCCGCTCCCAGCCACTGACTCAATTTACTCCTAAAATACTACATAGCCATTTTGGAAAAACCAGAGAAACATACCTGAGTGGCCGGAGTGCGAGTAGCGAGCACTGAAGAAACATCATAGAGTCTGGTAAGAGAGGGGGGTAGAAAAGGGGAGACCCCCTGAAGCCTGTGCTGGGCTCCGAGCCCAGAGGATTAGAGGCTGCAGACCTCCCTCTCCTTGGGAGTGCGCACCAGCATCCAAAAGCAAGGATCTCACACTCAGAGTGGACAAGAGGGCAAGAAGCGTCCAGTGCAAAAGGCAGAGGAACTCAGGGGAGGGTGTGCCCATGAAGAAGGGAAGGTGCCTTCCTAGGAAACAAGGTTTCTAGTGCTTGGGGTGCCAACCATAGGAAGGGCTGTCCTAAACTGTGTGGCACCCTAGTAGTAAGGGACCAGAGGACTGCACTGAGCAGCTGCACACAGGGACCCTCTGCCTCCTTGTAAGGCATTGTGTTGAGCCCCAGAAAGCATTGAATCTGTGTGGTGCGGGGCAGGTTGGGATCTGTGACTAGCCCTGAGGGCGCCCTGGTGGCCCTGAGCTCCTGCTGGGGAGAGTCTGGGATCTGTGACCAGCCCTGAGGGGTGCTGTGGTGGAGCATGAAGCTGCCCCAGCTTTGTTGAGATCAGTGGTGCAGGGAGCTGTGTGGAGCTGACTTTGGGTCCCTTCCCACTGGGTGCTTTGGCAGTACCTTGCAGGGTGGACTCTCTGCCTGTGTGTTGCTTTGTGCATTTTTTTATTCTGATCACTGAACTGGTTCCCACCTTCCCCCCTTGCACTGGGAGGTCAGACTAGTGGAAACTGGGATTGGGGTCTGCATGGTAGAGCGTCTGAGGGGTGAGCCTGGTGCAACCAGCCAACCAGAGCTGGAAGGGGGGGGGAGTCCACCTGCCT